TGAGGTTGCCCAAGGCTGCAACCACCTGTACACGGTCAACTGGGATCATTTTCTTCTTTCATTCCATGACACAAAGACACATGGACAAAATCGTTAGGAGTGTTTTAGTGGGAACAGAGCATGTGCAGAGGCTGTAGCCAGTTACTGCGTTTGTAAATTCATGTGTTATAGATTGTATTTATAAATTGTGTATAAAGCCAGGTGAAACATAAGAATACTGTACAGAGATCCCTGTAAAAAGATCCTTACTATAAGCTGGGTAATTAAATCATGTAAGATCACAAATGAAGCCAGATAATTAACTATATCCTGCAGTACAACTGCCAGAGGTGACTGCATACTCCTGGAGTCATACCATCTGGTAAATGGTTTCCAAGTAAAATGTCAAACTACTCACAACTAACAGGACATGGGTTACTCTGCCGTCGATTTCTACACTGGTAAGAAAACAAAAGTCCTCTCAGCATCTTGAAAATTCTGGACTGCAGCTTCATTTTTTCCCCTAATTAAATGGATTTAATCAGAGATCATAGATATGATAGATCAAAAACAGTCTAATGCAAGAATTGCTTTGCATTGCAAGTCCAGAATTTCTGGCTCTCATGGTTGAGCAATGAAATTTCTGACAGCTTTCTGTAGCAATGTGACAGCCTGGAAGCAAATTATAAATTTCAGCCTCATTCTTCTGAGCTGTTCCACATGCTCAAGATTATACAGTCATTCTTACTACAGCTCCTACAAATATGAGGACTTTTCTCAATATTCTGAAACCTTCTCTTAGGGAAGTTTCCGTTTTCTTATCAGCAGCAGTATTTATTAGATTTTAGTTCTCAGAACAAAATTGGTTTCATGGTGTACCTTGCCAAAACCAGCAACCTTGCTTGTATACAGATGTTCAGAAAGACCTTGAACCAGGCCTGTGCTATCTGAGGCTACCCAGGTCTCCAGTTACCTCCTCTAAATAGAAAAGAAAAAATCTTTTCTCTCAATCTCATCCTTAAACATTTTTGCATTCATCCAAGGCCTGTCCTTCGTACTTTTTGCAACTGCTAGCTTAACTGCAAATAGCTTAAAAGAATTCCATTGTTATATTCCCCTTTTAAAGCATCTAGAAGTTAGGGGAAATGAATTAAAAGGAAATAAAATTAAATTCCTGTAGTAACATTTTAATATTATCTGTCTTTTGTCAAAAGTATTACATTAGCAGGTTTAACAAACCAGCACATTTATCAGTTATTTTTTGTCTTGCATTGGCAGACAAAAATCCTGTAACAAAATTCTTAAAATACATGTGTAAAGAAGGAACAAAATAAACAAAGTATTGAATTCTCACAAGGAATCTATACATAGCATTAAGAATAAAATCGTAGATGAAATAAAGGGAAGGAAAACCAAGAAAAGAGCAAAGCTTTCCATAGGACAAATTGTAATTAGATAACTGAATCTAATGAAATCTGTGGAATGGATTTACAGAAAAAAATTGGATAACTATCGAGAGACAACACTGGGCCAGAATAGTTTATTTATCCTAACAATTTTCAACCATAAATGTTAACTACAGATCATGTGTAAAAACACACAATAATAAACACCTTACATAGTAATGCACCTTACTGGATCTTCCTAGGGAAGAGGCATAGCAGAAACTCTTTAAGAACACACTCTTACTTCTCATATTCCTCTGTGGAGATATTCAGCACCAATGACGTGACATTTCTGAAGCCCTCAGACCTTTTCTACAGCCTTTACTACAATTTTTTTGTTTTATATGGCTCCTATGGTTATACAAAATGACCACAGCTGTTCAGAAAGGTCTGGATGAGATGGCCTAAGGAATTAATGCTATTAAGAGTGCGAAATAATGTGCAAGTGTGTGCCTATGTGGACAATTATTAAATAAATTACTGAAGGAAACAGATATTAAATAAACACAGCACTTTTTGGGATCAGTCTTTGTTTGCAAATCAAAATCATAATTAGCAGCACAGATTATCAGGATTGTTAATTTGTGCTCCCTCTACTGGTTAATTGACCCTACAGCCATAAAAATAATAATAGTCTGCAAAAAATCCCCAGATTGTTGTGTTGCAACTCAACAGCCCAAAAAATCTGAAACCTAATTATATTATTAAATAAAACCCTTATACACAGCCAGTATCTTACACATCAGTTCTAAATGTCACCTTAGCTCATTAAAATGTCAAAATGGAAGCAAAAGAATCTTGCAGTTCAAAAAGATGTTTCCTATCATATCAGTTTGTTTTCTGTGCCTAGTTCATAGAAATTCCACTTCCCTCAGATATAGAAATGCAATTAAACATTTCAAATTCTGAATCATTCTAAGAAGCCACTGTTAATTGGATTTTTAATTGAAAGCTCCTTTTTTCTTCTCCTCATACAAAACACCATCAGCAACCGAGCTACAAAGCAGCCTAGATCACAGGACAACTGGGGCTGGAAGGCAGGGTTTGACAGCCTACCTGATCCACCTCCCTGCTCACAGTAAGGCTAAATCCACGCTTTAGTCAGGATGCTCAGGGACTTGTCCCATTGACTCCTGAGTATCTCCAAGGCTGCCAACTCTGCAACCTCTCCAGGTAACTCATTCCCGTATTTAATCACCCCGTGGTGAAAAACTCTTCATGGCATATGCAAAATATTTGTGAGATCCAGATCAAGCATAATTCAAAGTCCGAGTATAAGCAAACAGCAAATTTGTAACAAAACCCAGGAAAAAAAACAGTTTACCAAAAGTCATGTAATCTGGCCACAATTACAACTAGTCACAAGCAGCACATTCCCTTGGCAATGCAAATGTCACTAGCAGCTTGAATCACCTGAAAGAACCAAAGACCACCTTACTTTTGAATTTCGATGGTATAATACCCATGGGACTCTGCATTTCATCTGAAGCTGACAAAATATACTCTATAAATATTTATATCGCATATAGCAGATCCTCTGACTCTTTTTATTTCATGAAGCACAAATTACATTCATATATCCATGGGTTTCCTGATTACCTCTCCTGGTATAGAGATAAGTTAAATACTAATTTTAAATGTCAGCTTCTGACAAAGAACTATTTAAATGATCTTTAAGTGGAGTGAGTTGTAGTAAACATTATTGTATTAGTACAATTACTTTTAGTTAGCAAAAGGGGAAATAATGGCCAATTTAATTTACCTTGCTCAGTATGTGTTTTTTTTTATTAATAGCCTTTAGTTTTGTGGATGAGCAAGACAAACTTCTATTGTTATATACAGATTAGAAATGTAAACACTTAACACTTCCCACAATGACTGACTCCAGAATTGTTTCCAAGTATTATCTCGAAAAAGTAAAGAGCCGGCGTGACAAAGAGCACTACTGCCCCCTAATGAACCACCCACAAAAGCTCCTCTGTAACAGCGTTTCACGTCTTTCCTGAAAAAAATCAAGTTATTATATCCATGAATTATTAAAAAAAAAGAAATTAAAAAGTTTCGTGAGAAATGAAGACAATCATTAAGAACATATACACTACATTCATGTCAAATTTCTGCACAAAAGGCACACACATAAGTTTAGGGAGGAAAAAAAAGTATCTAGTATCAAGGATTTTCAGGTAACTTAATACTTTAGCACATCATGAAGATGCAAAATACAGCACATAAATTATGTTCCAACACTTCTGTCAGTATATAAGCAGATATTAGCCAATAAAACTGTAGTTATCTTCACACCAACCCAGATTTTTAAATTTTAGTGTCTGTAGTGTGAGAGCATCAGTATGTTTTTCTTGTTACACTGTTCTATCTAAATGCCAGTCACAAGTCTATTCTAAGCTTGTAATTATTACAAAATAATTCTGATCTTGGTATCTAATTATACCCACAAAAAGAAAGAGAGAGGAAACAACAAAAAAAAATCCACTTGCTGAATTCTGTTTGTAAAGGAAACAGATGAACTTTCTGTGTCATGTGAAAGTGACATTTTTTCCTCTTTTTTTTTTTTTAAATTGTTTTGCCACAGAATTGAAGCTGTATGCAGTGCTGCCCAATGCAGCTTGGACATAAAATTTTGTCTGGTTCCTGTATTTGCTTTCATTCAAAAATGAAAACAAAATAAAACAAAAATGAGCTGCTGAAAAAAATACAACTGCTGCAAGTTCTGGTGAGAAGCACAAACATAAGCCGTGTAGTCTCTTTTATTCTACCATAAATCAGAAATTCCACTCACTTAGTAAAATTACTGTGATTTAAATGCAATGTTAAAGCAGAACTGAGCTCTGATTTTTCCCCTCAAATCTTTTATACTGACTTTTTAACAGATAAACATTCTGACAGACACCACAGAAGTAAAGACTCCAATTTCGGTTAGGAAGATAAGGTTAAAAGCAATTCATGTGTTTGATTTAAAACATGCTAGCTAACAAAATATACAGATTTTATTAATAAAAACATGTGAATAAAAAATTACGTTCATTAGTGGTTTTGGCACTGAAACACCACCAGTCACTAAAATCCTTGAACTTAAGACTTTACCTTAAAACCTCCGAATATTGGCTTTCTGTGGCCTCGCATACTATGTCACCACTCACATAAATACATCATTAGCACAGAATGGTTGCAAGTGATGAGCAATATCTTACATAACTACACACATGGTAGAAGGCTAAAAGCTACTACGCATTAAAAGTATAAGAACTACCAATCACATGCTATGTGATAAAAATAAATTATCTACAAAGATATTTTAGAGACCTAAAATAACCATATTCCATATTTCTCTATGATACAGCCCAAAGAGCTGGTAACACAGCTCTCAGTCTACCTAATATGTATGCTATTACATGAGTACTTCACAATTCCAAGTGCTTACTATAATTTTATGAAATATAAAAATGAAAAGACTGGCGAGACTAACAACAATCAAGACTTCCAACAGATGCCTCAGAACTCTGAACATAAAGCCATCACCACAACTCATCCCAACCCTGCCAGGAATGTATTTCTTACCTTTGAATCTTCATTGCTCACTCCCAGCTCTAGCACAGCTCGAGGAGACTTCAGCTTTGCTTGCATGGACTCTGCCATTCGAAGATTAAGCTGCCATCCAATTGTTTCAAGCTATAAAACACAAATTTAGATTTGTGTTTTTAGATGGTACAGAAGCACTCAGGTCACCTTCCAATATTGTGAATGGTCTGTGTCAGTGAACAAGATGTCAGGCTCTACAAATTTTAAGCATTTTTATACAATGCACATTCTGCAAATTCTCCTGGACTCCAAGACAGATTTGCTTCTCTCTCTTGCCAAATGTATCAGTTCAAACTGCCTGTGACCACCCAAAATAAAGCAACTTCATATGCCTCGGATCTGCTGGAACCAATCCATAAAACACAACTAAGGATCCAAAACAAGGAAGTTTCCCCCTGCTTGTGGAAGTTTATCAGCAAAGTTTCAGATGCAATTCTATTATTTTTCTTTTAGGAAAAAAGAAAAAATTACCAATAAATGGTAAACCACCTAAAAATGGTAATTTGTTAATCAGCAGATCTACTCATGTGTGTTCTACCATATAGAGATGTTAATGACAAAAATAATTCTGTGCTGCTTTTTAAATTGTTACTGAGAAGCCAAAAACCAGTTAAGCATGTGAGCAACAGAATTTTTAATAGAAAGCTACACAAAAATACATTTCAAATTGCTTTTTAATCATTAACCTAAAATGATATTCAAACATTATCAAGCTACACCTCACGCATAAATGAAGAATGAGAACCGAACTACAAGTCTTTCACAAAATAACCTACCTGGCCTTCTTGCATAAAGAAAAGTAGAAATACAAAGTCTTACCATCTGGCAAGTTAATTTGCATACAAGTTCTTTTTAATCTAGTGTCTCCCCTCTGCCAGTAAATATTGTGGCTGACTTGGTAAAAGTGAAAGCATGCCACATCTCGGTTAATCTCTTACCAGTCCAACAATTCAGCTAAAACCATCAACAGTGCAAAGCCACCCCAGAAACAGTGCGCTGTGAACAGCAGAGAAGCCAATACATGCCCTGTCTCCTACAGTGACAGTAATCTCTAGGTGAAAGATAGGAGAGAAAGTGAGTGGCAGAAACATCTTCCACGGGCACAGCTCAGACAGAACTTCCAAAATTTATTGCAGCTATACCATTTACATTTACACATTCATGTATGTTATACAGCATTTCTTTGTACATTGCATCGATACTATACCAATTATGTAACAAACAATGAAAGCCATATGACTAAGCTTGCCGAACAGAAAATTACGTATCGTGACCTATTAACCACCACTGCCCATCCAAGGTGGTTAGGGAGTTTAGCCAAGGCCAAAGAAAGTTAACGGAATGACACAGACAGTCTCAGACTGCCTTTGTGTACAGCTGTAGGAACAAGACAGTAGGAAAGACTTCAGCAGGTCCGCCTGCAGTCTGTCAGCTGCTCTGCAATAAATGCCCCTATGCAGGCTTCATTCTGTGGTAAAAATAAGGAAGTTTGCACAGTGATCGAATCGATGAAAGCATGCATACAACACAAACGGACACAAGGAAAACGCTGTAAATCTGGTCTAGCTCATTTTGTGGTAGGCGTAGCTTTAGTAACAGTATGCCCACAGCCTACGAAGTAGGGATGCTTTAAAAGACAAGTTTTAGAAATTCTAAAAGCAGATTAATTTTTAATCATAATCCTCTGTTTTGATTTCCTCTAACGTGATTACATCTTGGTTGATGAAAATAATAGGGCATTGCCCATCCCACCCAAAAGTACAGCACAATCCAAAGTGGATTCTGTGGATGTGCTAAAGTGAATCACACTAATGGACAAGTTTGCTAAGTCCCTGTGCTGGCCAGTATCTGGTATCTTCCAGCAAATTACACCAGAATGACATAGCTGGAAAACTTTTTTCTCTCCACAAACTTCAATAAAATTAAGTAAAGAAATTGCCTCTGGTTCTCTCAGGAGCATAAAGATCTTAGCATCATGCCTTACTCTAGGTTTTAGATCAAGAAAGAAGTTTAGTTCAATTAAAAAACCCTATCAAATTGATAATGGTCAACTGAGAAGGACCCAAATGCTGACTTATGGGCTAGTCGTGGGAGCAGCCCGAAGCAGGCAACAGGGAACAATACCACCTATTTTGATAAAACACCTAATCAGTAAGGTCAAACACGGAGGCAACGAGCAAGCTCTGGAATGCAATGGCTCTTCATACTGCAGTCACTAACGTTCAAGCTCTGCTTTCCTCAATTTAGAAAGGACTTTCTATCAGTTACTTAAGCAGTTTATTATAGTAGTATGGAAACCAAGCCTTACACAGGCTAGCAGCTTATCCAGGATTATAAAACTATGCCACTAGAGACAAGAACAATATCCTAGGAAGCCTGACTTTAAGACTTTTCTAAAGCTGTTACACAGTGTACTGTATGTAGCATGAAAAACAAACCATCAAAAGTAAAGAAATTCAAATTCATGTCTTCTGTTTCACCTTTAATACACATCTATCCAGTAATATTGTAGAGGGCTCAGAACAAACACAATGTATGTGGCAGCACAGTGGCCTGAGTTTATAGCTGAACAGCAGCCATAACTCTTTTTTTATACTGCTTTACCTTAAAATTACTTTGTTTTCCTGTACAACTCACATGTCTTTTCTGTTTTAAATATAGTTGTCTGAGAACAAGTTTTGATTAACAAATAGCACGCTGCCTAAGACTTCAAAATGGTCTGACCATTTATTTTCTTGAAAGAAAAATGTAACATGTATTTGGCTATGGTCGCATTTACTTAGGAGACATACAACATCCTGAAGTATCAATTAACCTTTTGAGAGTGGTGACACGTTTCTGCATGGCATTTGTGTCAAGGCACAGCATTCAGTAGCCATGAAGTGGTACACATTTTAGGGCCAATTTTGTTTAAAATGAAAGTACTACAAAATTCTTTTCACTTCTGATATAAAACTTATTATAGAAAACAAAACATTGGGAGAGACTATATGGTGCCAGAATCTGCAATATGTTACCTGAAAAGCATTTACTGGGTAGGGGAGGAAGTATTTCTCTATAACCAGCATGAAAACAAAGGCATGATTTTAGTTACTGTAGACCTTTAGCTTCTTTTTACAATTTCTTACCAGCACTTCAGAAATGTGCAAGCTACCTTGTCACTGCAACAATAAACACCATTGAAAATGTACTATTTAGTGCTGTAAGTTCTCACTGGTATCTCTGGCACTTATTTAACCTCAGGGTTATGTTTATAAAACAAAAAACAGGTGCAAGCTGGAAAACAAGGAAAGGAAAAAACATAGATACTAAATAAAACCAATAGTAAGCAGGTACAAAAAATGCTTCAGATCTGCTCCATGAACCCTATGGCAAATGTTTCAGGGCAACAAAGACATGAGGAAGCTTTCGACAGCCCCTGTAATCCCAGTTTCCATGCCCATTTTGTTCCACTAGGGCTTCTGAAGAAGATACCCTGACAGCCAGGGCTAACAGGCATGGAAGAACCTGTGCACTTCTCCCTTCCAGCGCTCACGCAATACTAGCTATAGAAAAGATAGGGTGTTACACCTGCTAAACCAGCTCTGTACCCCCTACAAATGTAGTGCTTCTCAGTGGCCATCCACACCCATCCCAGGGCCAGATCCACACTAGAGAGCTGCCAGTTCCCCTAATATGAGAGGACCTGACCGTTCATCTGTTGATTACAAATACCTTTACAGGTACATAAATACAAAATCTCTGATCTGTCTCTGATGATGTCTATGATATCCCCAGTCATTTTCCTCCAGTGTAAAACATGGGAGCTTCCAACTCATGCCCGCTGTCCTGTCCACACTAAATAGTAGAGCATAGTATTTTACATATTAGGACAAGATCATCAGCAACATAACATAACTGTAGTAAAATGTTTGGGTGAAAGTTACCCTCTGCAAACAGCCCATGTGCACTAAATGTCAAGTCAGCTTTCACAGCTTATCTGATATGAACTTGAAGCACTATCTCCAACCAAATAAAGTATTTCATATAGCCAAAAGTAACATCCACAGAATCCACCATTTCCCTCATCACTTACCGCCCATTATGTTTTTACATACTATTGTCTCTTTCTCACATGCTTTCACCACAGTACCTTACTTTCACTTTTGACTGCCCATAAACATTACTGCAAATTAAACCAGAACTGAGAAGAAATTCAAGAAATCAGATAAACACGACAAGTTTCTATATTAGTTGTCAAAAAATCAAAATACTTCTCCTTTCTCAACTACATAAAGATATTTATCTTATAGTCTTTAATGAGAAATCAAATAAACGTTCTCTGATGAAGAAATTCAGGTTAAAAATGTCAACGAGAAAACAATCATCTGAGCTATACAAGAACCAGTCTATCAGAAATGAAGGACTTCGACTTTCAGAGTGAAGACAGACTGGATGTCCAGAACAGACATGTTGTAGGGCTCCAACCAGAAGGACCAAGAACAGAGCCAAAGTGACTGAGAAACTCACACTGAAAAAAACATTGGGAAGGACCTTAATTTGAGAAAAGAAAATAAGTGGGAATATTATGAAAAAAGGGAAAACTAAAAGTGGAAACAGAATTTCAGAAAATACATAAGCACCTAAAATGTCTTTCCCCTAATACTTCCAACTTCAGCCATTCCAAACTTCTGGAGCAGGGTTCAGTATTTTTAAGGGAGGAAAGGGAAAAAGGGGTTTAAATGCTCAGTCAGTACTGGCGCAGGGAAAGGGGATATTTTTTTTGTTTTGGACTTGAGTGATATACTGAGATCACATCTCCTGTCTGTCTCTACACCCATGAAGACTGGAAGCTTGTTTTAATTTTAAATGGAAAACTGGAATTTTCATATAAATTACCCACTTCTAGAAGGTGAAGCTTTCAGAAGGCCAACTAATACCATAACCAGTATTACAGAAAATAGAAAATCTATAATTTTTCTATAGAAAATCAGTATTACTGCCCTCAGAACTCACTAATGGGGCACAAACAGCTTTCTTCTTACCACAATGCAAGCAGGATGCCATAATATCACGCAAAACACTATTTCTCCTCCATGAGTAATCCATGA